GGGCCCAGCGGGCGCCGCACCCCGCACCGCGCCCTCTTGCAGGGAGAAGGAAAGGGAGCAGCTGGCCGCCCTGCGCAAGCACCACGAGGAGGAGATCGACCACCACAAGAGAGAGATTGAGCGGCTGCAGAAGGAGATCGAGCGCCACAAGTACAAGATCAAGAAGCTGAAAGACGACGACTGAGGCGCAGAGCCTGGTGCGGAGCAGCGCTGCGGGCCGGGCACTTTGGCTCCCGTAACCCAAATCCATCCAACTGTACTGTGCTCTGCAGCAATGCCAAATAAACTGCTCGGTCTCTCGCTTCTGTTCGCTGACCGTTTACTGAAAAAAAATCCAGTCTCTGGTTCTAAACTTCATAGCTCGTCCGAAAGAAGGACGTAGTCGTGAGCAGGCGGTCCTGTGCGGGGCTCCACTGATGGCTTTAGGTGTATCTGAAGGAAACGACTGTTCGTACTTAGTGTGGTAGCTCCGCGCTGAAAGCTGCGAAAGCTGGGATAAAGATGGTACCGGTGTAGAGAGCCGTTGACACAGACATGATTTTTTCTCAAGAAAGCTGTCACTGTGGTGCAGGGGGGAGAGGGCTCTCCACTGAGCTAGCAGGGTGTCTGTAACAGGGAAGTTTCTCTTGTTGCACTTCATGTTTAGTGCTGTGAACTGAAGAAAATACTAAGTTACGGCGATTTCACTTGCCCTGGTGTGAGTTGCTGGAGCAAAACAGCCAAGATCCTGACTTCTGCGTGAATGTGCTTTTCTGTAAAGACTTTAATTGCCCAGTGGTGTGTTTTTTCTGGCTCTAGCTCTCAATGTTCCTTATCTAAGTCCCTTTCCAAAGAAGGATGGCTTAACGTTAATTTTATGCAGGCTCAGTCACTTTTCCAATGTTAATATAAGAAATCAATCATAAAACACACAGCAAGTGACCTGCTGAAATAGTGTGGCCTTACTGCACTCATTCCTGAGAAGAAGGGGATTTTACGTAATAAGAATGGACAGGTAGGAAAATGGCTGCTCCTTCCACACCTGCACCGTCACCTCCGTCAGGCTGCCTGGCCAGACGTGTTTTCCACTGCCGGCAAAAGCTGCTCTGTGGTGTTACGTTGCACTGCGAGGTGCTGCGGTGAGGCTGGACTGGAACCACCCTGCCCGAAGCAGCGGGAGGCAAATCAGAGCCTTTGCTGTCGGAGGGGCTTTGGTGAGGGACAGGCTAAAGGCACCCGGCTTCTCCCATGTTAACATCCCCAACGGGCCACTCTCTTCCGCCCAACGAACGCTGCAGCTCGTGGTACGTCTTGTCTGCAGAGCAAATGACAGCACTGTCACTCTGATGAAGAGTCTGTGCCCTTAAAAACTCCTGTTTAATGAAAACTCTATCTGTGGAAGAGAGAGGCTGCGCTGTGCAGTGTGTCATCGCCCGGGTTTGCTCACTCTGTGGGAGCTGGCGCAGGGAGTTGTGCGGAGGTTGGGTGTAGAGCTGTCTCCATGGGGTTTGTTCTTTTCAGTTGGGGCTGATTAACCTGAGCCAAAAATATTAATATCTCCCCCTCCCCGGAAATATGAAACCCAGTGGGAAGAACTGCGTCATGAAAGCAATATACTATCGGCCTGTTTAGTTTTTACCCATCTAAAAATCCAAATTTTTACCCATTTCAAAATCTTTTTTCTATCGTATCTGTCAGCTGGTTGCCTTCCCCCAAAAGCTGTGGAGTCACTAGTGAGATGTCCCAACTGAAGACCCATTTCTTGGTATCACAGCTACAGTGGACTATGGAATAGCTGAAATAAATATATTCTGAAGGGAACAGATAAGGGCTGAAATTCATGGCTTTGTGATTTACTCTGCATTTTTGTGCACCGCTGAAACGTTAACTATGCCATGCGAGCTCAGCCACGGAGCATCTGCCCGAGAGCCTGTAAGGGAGAGGGGATTTGCTGTGAGGCTCTGTGAGAGTGTTGAGATTTGGACCGCTTCCATCCCACCGGGGAGGTGGTACGAACCCCCTGCAGTCCCCCAGAGCTCAGGTGTGCGGTACAGAATCCTGCTGCGCAGAACAGAGCTTTCTTGCTCACCAGCGCTCTCTGAAACACGTCTCCCCTCAGGTTTCAGGGGGCCTCCGACACGGGTAGGTGTGCTGGGTCCCTTACCACGTGTTCGTAAACCCGTCCCGTCTTCTGGAGAGGAACCTGTAGCTAACTGACTGCTTCGCAGTCGCCCTGAACTTCTGTCCGGTTGTGGCGATGGCAGTACGCACGACGAGGACGGGCAGCTGTAGGTGTTGACCAAGTGAGCAGGCTGGGCAGAGAAGTCCCTGTCAGCAGCGGTTTGACTGGCAGACGATGATTATAAAGCCATGCCCTTAGATTGGATATTAGGAAAAATTTCTTCACTGGAAGAGTGGTCAGGCATTGGAACAGGCTGCCCAGGGCAGTGGGGGAGTCCCCATCCCTGGAGGGGTTCAAAGAACATGTGGATGTGGCACTTTGGGACATGGTTTAGCAGACATGGGGGCGTTGGGGTGATGGTTGGACTTGATGATCTTTAAGGGCTTTTCCAACCTTAACGATTCTATGATTACACTCTGAATTTCACTCCTGGATACTATATCATAAAATATTTTAAGATCTCTGCAGGACATTTATTAGGCACCACTAAAGGGACAGATGCTTAGGTCGCTCAATTCCTCTCAACCTTTGTGCTACGAGAACTCCTCGAGCCCGTCATTCCTCACTCCCAGTAAAACAAACCGCTGCAGTGAACCGGAGCGGGCAAGGCAGGGAACAACCGCGTCTCCTTCCACCTCCCCGCGCGGCAGAGCGTTCGCTCAGCGGAGAGGAGCTGCC